GTCTTGTTCCAGATTTTAGAGGGAATGCCTTCAACTTTTCTCCATTCAGAATGATGCTAGCCTGAGGCTTAGCATAGATAGCTTTTACAATGTCAAGGTAAGTTCCTGTTATCCCTAATTTTTCTAATGTTTTGAACATAAAGGAATGCTGTACTTTGTCGAATGCTTTCTCTGCGTCTATCGAGATGATCATATGGTTCTTATCTTTAAGTCTATTGATGTGGTGAATAACATTTATTGATTTCCGTATATTGAACCATCCTTGCATCCCACAGTTAGTTGTTCTTATTGCCTTGGGCCTCTGGCGACAGAACATCATGGCAAGAACACATGGCAGAGGAAACCTGTCTACTTTGTGGTGGCCAGGAAGCAAATAAAAAATAAGAGGAGGGCTGGGGCTGGGGTTCAGTTGTAGGGCACTTGCCTAGCACATGTGAGGCACTGAGTTCATCCTCAGCACCACATAAAAATAAAGGTATTATGTTCATCTACAACTAAAAAAAAAAATTTTTTTTTAAAGAGTAAGAGAAGGGGTCACAGTCCCAATAGACCCTTCAAGGTCACACTCCCATTGACCTGACTTCCTTCCACTGGGGCCCATCTCCCAACAGTGCTACAGGCTATAGATCAAGTCTTCCACACTTGGGCCTTTGGAGGACCTTTCAGATCCAAATTGTAGCACAGAGTAAGGGTGTATATTGTTCCATGAAACTCTGGCTTATTCTCAGTTATGTATATGTGTGTACTAGTTCACAGTGGAACTCGTGGTTACCATGAGTCAAGGTCCTGAAAGTCTGTAGGACTCTCAGCATCTCAAGCCACTCCTCCCAGCACTCTTCGCCCTCCAGTGTGTATTCTTCCATCTCATCCTTTTTTAAAAAAAAATTTTTTTACATGTGGATGGATTTTTATTTTATTCATTTATCTATATGCCGTGCTGAGACTCAAACCCAGGGCCTCACACATCCTAGGCAAGTGTTCTACCACTGAGCCACAACCCCAGCCTGCGCAGTCCCATCCTTTTATATGTCTTGCCTCAAAGTCTTTGCATATGCTTTTTCCTCTGCATAGAATGTTTTTTTGTATACTTGAAGTGGTTAATATCTCTGTCCTAGCCATCCACCTAAATCCCTCTCCTGCTACTGTCTCTTTATAAATTATAATTTTTGCTGGTTGTGGCACATACCTATAATCCCAGTGACTCGGGAGGCTGAGGCAGGAGGATTGCAAGTTCAAAGCCAGTCTCAGCAACTTAGTGAGGCCCCAATTCAGTGAGACCCTATCTCAAAATAAAACATAGGGCTGGGGACATAGCTCAGTTGGTAGAGTGCTTGCCTCACATGCACAAGGCCCTAGGTTCAATCCCCAGTACCACCAAAAAAAAGGAAAAAGATATTCAGTTACAAAATAAAACATAAAAGAGGGCTGGGGATATAGCTCAGTAGTTAAGTGCTGCTGGGTTCAATCCCCAGTACCAAAAAAATAATAAGTTTTAATTCTTGTATTTGCCTGTTTGTTTTTCACCTGCTCTGCTCCTCTAGAATGAATGAAGGAATGTAGCTGAGCATGGTGGTGAGTGCATATAGTCAGATTTACTCAAAGAGCTAGGGAAGGAGGGTCACTTGAGCCCAGAAGTTCAGGGCCAGCCTGGGAAACACAGCAAGACCCCATCTATTAAAAAATAAAAAGAAACGAAGAAAGGATCAGTTGAATGAACAAATGAACAAAGGTTTGTGAGTATGTGTGAATGTGAGTGTGTGTACGTGTGTGTTTTATGTACTTGGCCATGGAGATAGCCCACACACCCAGGGTCTAGCTCACGCTCTACCCAGATTACCCCCATGTCTTTGGGCAGGTCCCTCCCTCAGTGCCTCCCATTGTGGGAAGGGTTTGATACTTGAAAAAGGCCTTCTCGGTACCAATAGTCTATGATTCTTTGTCTGGACGTAGAATGTGGGCTGGTGGTTAATGATCATTTCTTCCAGTTTACAGGATTTCTTCGTCTCCTGTATCTCATTTGATTTTCACAACAGTTCCTAGGAAAGCCAATAAGGCTGTTCTTACCAGTGTCATTTACACTTTAGAATCATAAAACTCAGTGGCTTGGGAATTTGATCAAACTAGCAGACTAGAAAAAACAAGTACCACCAGGTACTGTGATGCGTGTCTGGAATCCCAGTGTCCCAGGAGGCTAAGACAGAGGATCACAAGTTCAAGGCCAGCTCAGGCTACTCAGCAAGTTAGTGAGTCCTTGTCTCAAAAAATAAAAGAGGCTGGAATGTGTCTCAACAGTAAAGCACCCCCAGCTCAATCCCCAGAACCAGAAAAGCAAAAAAGAAAGAAAAGAGAAAACCCAGGTGCCAAATCTGAGCCCTTGACTTCTGCCTTGACACTGTTTCCCAACACCAGCCCAGGCAGCCCGCCCTGGAGGAGAATGAGGATATGGCGGGAAAGGGGGCCTTCTTGGCTTCCCTTGCCCTACTGTTACATGACTGTCTTGCCTTCAGAGTCTAGTAGCTTGGGGTCCTCAGGCACTAGTGCTGTGACATCAGCTAAATCCAATAACTCAGTGAGGCAACCTCTTCGAACCTCCCCTACCACATTTTGAAAATAGGAATAACAAAACATACCTTGTGTAATCATCATGAGGACTCAAAGACTTCAAAGGGGACTTCAAGATTTTCCTTTTCCTTTAAGCATTACTTAAAGTCTACTGTCCTAGATGCCCATGGACCAAAGACTGATCTGGGATTGGATGGGCAGAGGGATCCTCCTCACTAATCTGGCCTCATCCCCTGACTCAGGAACCTGGCAGACCGAGGCCGTGTTCAGTGAGAAAGCGTTGATCCAAGTTCCCAATGACATCCCTCTTCAGAGTGCTGCCACCCTGAGTGTCAACCCCTGCACAGCCTACAGGATGTTGGTGGACTTTGAGCAGCTGAAGCCAGGTAGGAACTTACAAGTAGGGAAAGCAGGCCAGGGCCTCCTCACCAGAGTGCACCCAGATCCTGACTGGGGGGTGGAAGGCCTGGGAAGATGATGGGCCCCTGCCTCAACAAGTGTGCTGCTATCGTTTTTACTTAGGAAGTTGTTAACTTGGGGGCTGGGGCTGGGACTCAGCGATAAAGCACTTGCCTAACACATGTGAGGCACTGGGTTCAATCCTCAGCACCACATAAATAAATAAAAAAATAAAGGTATTTTTCCATCCACAACTGAAAATATATATAAAAGATGTTAACTTGGTTCCTAGAAAACACCCTGTGAGCTCACGAGGAGTACAACCTTGGAAACTGCTATAGGGTCAAATTCCCTAGAGCTTGGGATGGAATTCTGTCACTCAGCAAAAATGTGTCGAGCTGTGCTAAGCTCTGGGGACACAAAGCCAGACAAGATAGACACAGTCTCTGTGTTTTCAGTAAAATGCTGAACTTGGTGTTACTAATTCTGCTCAGCATTAATACAGCACTTTCCATCCGTAGGTGCGTGTGCAGGCATTATCCCCATGGAGTGTTTCGCCTTCAAAGCTGTGCAGGGAGCTTAATGTCATTGGTTAAGAGCTCAAGGCCCAGGCACACAACCTAGGTGTGAACCCAACTTCACCTTCACTAGCTGAACTCATGGCTCAAGTCAGCAGAGTTTTCATCCTTAAGATGGAGAATAAGGGGCTGGGGATGTGGCTCAAGCGGTAGTGTGCTCACCTAGCATGTGTTCAGCCCTGGTTTGATCCTCAGCACCACATACAAAGGTGTTGTGTCCACTGAAAACTAAAAAAATAAATATTAAAATTCTCTCTCTCTCTTAAAAAAAAAAAAGAAGTGAAAAAGTGAAAGTTCTCAACTTAATAGAAGAAGAAAAATAATTTTATACTTAGGTCACTAAGAAACAAAATAAAATCTAATAAAAGAAATAAGAGTGGCTGTATTCTAATAAAAAAAAACTTTATAAAAAAAAAAAAACAAGAGAGAGAATAAGGAGGGTTGATGAACTGCAGCAGCATGACACTTAGCACAGCAGCCAGCCTGCTGGGCAAGAAGTACCAGCTGCTTTTATTAGTCTTCCTTAGAGAGGTGAACTTGCAAGAAGTCCCTCAGCAAGTAAACAACAGAGCCATGTGTTTTATCTGGGTTCCCCTGAAAGCAGAGCCTTAGACCAGGAGTGGGACCAGGCAGTTCTTTCGGGTAGTGGTCACAGGAAGGCAAAGACATTAAGGCCAGTTAGTGCTGTGGGCGACCCGACTCAGTCCCACTAGGACTCTGCAGAGACCCTCATGGAGCTCACTCTAGAATTAGCCCCAAGTGCAGGAGGCTGGGCCAGTTTTCCACCAACTCCCATCCCCCGTGGTTTGGTTTGGTTTGGTTTGGTATGCAGTAGTGGGGATCCAACTCTGGGCCTCATGCTTGCTAGACAAACACTCTACCACTGAGCTGCACCCCCAGCCCCCACACCCCCGCCTTTTGCAAGTTGCCCCGCACCCTGCATATCCATGAGCTGGCAGGAACTATAGAAATGCCCAGGCTGCCTCTCTCATGCCAGCAAGGACACTGAAGCCATGTGCTGATGGAATGTGATGGAGCTGGGTAGGCAGCTGCTGCCTGAGGCCTGGGGGGACATTGATCCCAGCTCATGGAGAGCAGTGTGGCTTTTCAGGGCTATGGCAGAGGGGTCTTAGGAGCTTTCCATGGAAAAAGTCAGGAGGTGGGACCAGGGACCTCGGCTGGAGTCCTAGTATAGCAGACACTGTGGCACCTGCATCACATCCCCTCAAACCACTCCTGATTTGGGCTGCAGCTGTGGTGGACAAATCTGCACATTTTGATGATACCCACCGTGCCCACTGAGCACTTCTCCACTTGTCTGCTTCAAGGCTATTGTCCTGGGCTAGATCAGCATTGAACAAACTTAGAATCTTGACCCATAGTAGGAATCACATTTCACATTGTTATCTAGTACATACACATGTATGAAAATTATAAATATATATGAAACCAAAGCTTCACAGCACAGTATTTGTCCTTACCATGTGAGATGCACTCTGTTATTTTTTATTCTTCTCAAATCTAACTAAAACAAAACAGTGCTGCCTGTGACCCTCTAGATTGAGTCACAGTGCACTAGGGAGTGAGAACCTTTATGCTGACCCTGGCAGAGTGTGGATACAGCCTTCTCTCAGGAGCCCTCTGTCTCTAGCTCCACCCACTGTGCACAGATCCCAGATACCTCTCAAACACCAGGGAGCATTTCATAGCTAACAGAGCACCTGCCTGGACACAGAGCATTTGATTCCAGTCAGGGGCACCTTGATTGGTGCTCTTAGGATTCCTGTTTTCTGAGGAGAAAACTGAAGTTCAAAAAGGACACAACTTGCCTTGTCTAGTTCGTCACTGGTTATACTGGAATTCACCCAGTTCCATCTGTTCCAGAGCCATGTTCTCCCTAGTGTGCCTGACTGCCTCCCCCACTGCAAGTTCCAAAGCCAGTCCTGTGCTTTGACCACAAACTGCCTGCAGGACTCTGTTTCAGGGGTTGCCAGTTTGTTTTGTTTTTTTGAGGAGAGAGAGAGAATTTTTAATATTTATTTTTTAGTTCTCGGCGGACACAACATCTTTGTTGGTATGTGGCGCTGAGGATCGAACCCAGGCCGCACGCATGCCAGGCGAGCCCACTACCGCTTGAGCCACATCCCCAACCCAAGTTTTTCCATTGAAACTCTTAATCCTATTTCAAAGCAGCACACCTTTATTCACTACTACACGGCCCTTCCCTTGAGAAGCTGCAGGTTGATAGACGCCGCCTCTACAACTGATTGTGGGCCGGGGCCACAGCATGTGATCAATAGAGACACTCACAGCCTGTGTGGGAGCACAACAGGGAGAACCCAGGAGGGCTCCATGAAGAACCACGCTTGAGCTGATCTTTGAGGATCACATAGGATGTTAAAAGGAGGGGAGCAATTTCAACCCAAGGAAATAATCTAAGCAGACACAGAGGACAAAGAATTTGGGAGGATGATGAAGGATATAAAACCAGTTGGGCCTTAAATTATGTCCTCTGTGGACACTAAGTGACCAGTTCTGGAAGGCATAATGGATGTTACGGAAGTTTGGGAAGGATCGAGAAAACAGTGCGTTAAGGCCCAAAATCTGAGTTCCAAAGGCTTCAATGCCAGATCCTGGGTCCTTCTGGGGCCTGAACACTTCGCCTCTTCCACTATCCTAGGATCCCAGGCTGGGAGTCCTTGACCTTTTTCAGGTGTGCAAGGCTTGACTTGGGTCTCTTCCTGGATCCACAGGGGACTCTGTCATCCAGAATGCATCCAACAGTGGAGTGGGGCAAGCAGTCATTCAGATCGCCGCAGCCCTGGGCCTAAGGACCATCAATGTGGTCCGAGACAGGTGGGTGGGGAGGCCTAATTCCAGATCATGACTTGGACCTTTTCCTCTCGCATCCCTGCCGGTGCTCATACCTCCACCAGAGGGCGCCATTGCAAAGCCTAACTGGCCTCCTTTACTGAGGAACAGTTGGCAGCTGAAGCTGATGAGTCAGCCCCAAGAAATGAAGTCCAGGTGGCACTTGGCTATAGGATGAGTGAATCTGAAATGTAGAGACACGGGAAGGAGGTGGAGATTGTTGTTTCTGAACAGCTAGGAGTTTTGGAAACGACTTCTGATACCCCCATGTGTTTACATCCACAGTTAACATGTGGAAATGTTTTGAGTTGTACTGTTCTTCCTGCGAACTGTCAAGCCCTGGGCCCCTCTTCCCCTTGCATTTGTGCACTAAATCCTACTGTGAAGGAGATGGAGCAGGTTTCTCCTCTCTTTTACAGATGAGGAAACTGAGTTTCAGAGAGAGAAGGCAGCTTGTTCAGGAAGAGTCGCCCACAGGCTTATTTTCCTTCCGCCACATCATCCAGTTCCCCATCTCCTCATTCATGCTAACAAAAATGATTCTTGCCCAAGACACCAGGGCCACTCCTCGGCCAGAGTGTGTTTGCGTTTGTACAACACCCTGATTGCTCCTGGAAAAGTCGGGGGAGGTTATTATTTCAGTAGAAAATTTTAGGAAGTGGGATCACTTCTTTCTGGGCACAGATGGTTTCTAGCACCCCTGAGCTGGCAGAGACTGCAGAAACCTCCCAGCCCTGGCTCTGTCCAGGGAAGAATGGCCGGCAAGGAAACAAGGCTAGGAGCTGCTGGCACAGGATTAATTTTGTGGCTGGCCCCTGCTCGAGGCCTGGCTTAACCCCAATCCCAGCCTCCCAGAAAAGAAATATGGATTCTTACAGCTGTAGCAGAGGAGTCCTGGCAGCTTTGGGGAGAGGAAGCCAGCAGGTATGATGAGGGACTTTGGATTGTGTTTGACTTTCAGGCCTGACATCCAGAAACTGATGGACAGACTAAAGGATCTGGGGGCCGAGCATGTCATCACAGAGGAGGAACTAAGAAAGCCAGAAGCAAAAAACTTGTTCAAGGTACCCAGGGAAAGGGCATTGCTTCTCCATCCCATGCCCATCTCCTAAAGAAAGCTTTTGCTCCTGTCTGCACCCCTCCTTTTTGCCTCTTGTAAAGCCTGTTCCCTTAGCCAAGGGACAGCTTGCATGAAGTGTTCAGATGCTTGAGGGAAGCAGGGGAAACTTCAAAGTTTAGAAAATCCTGTATGATTTGCAGTTTTAAACATTTATGGTGAGTTACATCAGCCCATACTGCAGATATAAATCTTAGAGTTGGGAGAGGACCTGAGGAAACTTGAGACACAGAGAGGGAAGAGAAAAGAGTCAACCATTCCTAAGCTTCTGCCTCCATTTTACCTGATAATTCCCAGGTAAGTCCCGAGTCCTGAGTCTCTTTCAATGAGGAAACCCACACTCAGAAAAGATAAATGACTTGACCAGAATCACGTAGATATAAGTGGTCCATCAGGGCTGGCCCCAGGGTCTCTGAATGTAGAACCTTGGCCCTTCCACAACGTCTGCCCTCGTCCCACAACTCCCAGTAAGTGAGCAAACCCTGTCACCACCCTTGTTAAGTGAACCAGCTGGAGACACCAAACACATGCACCCACTCAGGAATGTATGCCCCTTGAGAACGTTTCTGGAGCTCTAGACCAGCACATCACATGTAAACAGAGTCTAAAGTACCCAGCTAAGGAGCATTAAGGGAGCTAAAGCTGCTCAAAACTGACCACAGATGCTCCATGTCTCTTCTTTCCCGGAGGAGGCATGTTTTGAACCAAGTCCTGAATCGAGCACTCACTATCTACCATGTACAGAGATGGCTGAGATACTATGGGAGAACTCACAGACTAGGTGGGCAGATGTGCCACGTGACCCGAGAGCTGGGAGGAGGATCACAGAGCACCTGTCTCTGTAAAGCCTGTTCCGAAGTTGCTACAGGCTCCTCCCAGGCAGAAAAAGCAAGATCAAAGCCATGACCACCCCATTCCCTTCACTCCCTCCTTTTGACACTGCACGGGTCAGGGAAGTATTTGTAGAAGCTTCAAACCCACGTGTAAAAGGGTTGCTCCCTCACGGCAGACTCCTTGTTTTCCAGAACACACCCCAGCCACGGCTTGCTCTCAACTGTGTTGGCGGGAAAAGCTCCACAGAGTTGCTGCGGCATTTAGCGTAAGTCCCTCTACCCTACAGGGCTAGTTTGCTCAAGCTTCTAGGTCACTAACTGGGAGGACATCAAGTGACCCAGACCCAATGGTCAATGTGAGCCAAAACCAGATTAGCACAACATTGAGTAGGAAACAAGGACCAAAGACATCCGGCTCCTTGGGCACTTCTTTCTCAGTCTCCTCCTATATGGGACCAAGAGACCTGTTTCCCAGGGACTCCAGAAATCAACTGCTAAGCTCTCCATCACAGGATGGTCAAGGATTCATAAATTTGGGGCCTCTTAAAAGTCACTTAGTCTGAACTTAGTAGCTTTTAAAATTTTTATTAGCTTTTAAAACTAGATTCTAATTTACAAGTAACATTATATCTATTTCAAAACATTTTGAAACATGTAAAAGTACAAAGGAAAACCTAAAGGTTCTCTCATCCCTCAGCCAAGCACCATGGCAGCATTATCTGTGCACATTCTGTCCTTTCCTCTGACATAAACGTCAGCTGGAGAGCCCCTGAAAAGACTTGCCAACTAGAGCAGAAGTCCCCTCTACACTGATTTAGTTAATAATTTGCTGAGCACTCACTAGCTACCAGGGACAGAGTTGGCTGAGACACTGCAGGAGAACTCACGGACTAGGTGGGCAGATGAGCCACATGACTAGAGAGCTGGGCAGAGGATCACTGAGCACATGCACCTGCCTCTGTGTGTGCTGTTTGAAGTGTTTTAATTCCGCTTCCCCCCCCCCTTTGGTGCTGGAAGTTGAACCCAAGGCCATGCGTGTACTGACACATGTTCTGACACCAAGTTACACCCCCAGACCCCTCACCTCCATTTTACACTTAAAGCAAATGAGTCCCAGAGGAGGTAGTTTCCTTGCCAAAGGTATAGTCAGCAGAGAGCCAGGTCACCCAAGTTTGCATGACTCTGGAGAAGATCTCTTGAGCCCTAAATTTAGCAACCTCTGAGGCAAACTATGACCCCCATGTCTTTGCCAGAGAAAGCATTGTGCACTGGTCACAAGTGTAGGCATTGGAGTCAGAGTGGCTAGGTTCCAGCCCTAACTCTGCTCTTGCCAGCTGTGGACCTGTGGAAAGTTAGGCAATACCTGAAAAATGATCCAAGCTTCAGCCCCTTCATCTCTACAGTTGGAGTAATAGAAACCCATTCTGCTTCCCAAGAGTAATCTAAAGGCCACTGAAGTGATATACAAATAACTCATTATTCAATTGAGGAATGGATTTAAGTTTTCTCATTTGCAAAATGAGTGTATCCAAGTGTTCCCTTGGGGTCACTATGAGGATGCCCTGAGATGGTACACGTAACATGCTCAGAACTGTGCTTGGCATTGTAGACAGTAAAAGTCAGCTGTTCTGATCAGCCAAGTACAGCAGGGACACAGAGGAGAGAGGGCTCAGTCCCCTCAGGAACTGCTTTCTATAGCAAGCGCCAGTTGAAGGGAACTTTAGACCAAACTAGGTCCTGGGGCTGCAGCTCGGGTAGAACACATGGGTGACATGCAGGAGGCCCTGGGTTCAACCCCCAGTGCTGCACATACAAGAAAATGATTAAACTCCCCAGCAGCCTCAGGGCCATAGTCAGTCAGCTCTTCCATTTTGTAGTAAGTCTGCCTTGTGGCGTCCTAAAATACGCTTCAGGTCATCCTTGACCTCAAGACTCCTAAAAGAGCCAGGGAGTCAGGAGGGGAACAAAGGTCAAGTCAAGCATGAAAAGTCCTAGCTTATTAGCTTTTAAAAATTATACTCACCTCACTCCTATGTACAGCCAAGTGTGTGTATCACTCAGCAGCTACTGAGGCAGCACCTCCTACAGGGTCAGGACATTGTCCTCTTCACCACCCACATTCACTCCTATCTGTAGAAGTATTGAGGCACTGATTTTTAGAAGGAGCATTTACACATGAAAAGCCAAGGTCTGGGTCGTTTTCCTTAGGTCTCCCAAGGTCCCAAAGTCACCCTCCCATAAGCGGGAGCAGAGCTGGAGCTGGATGGTGGGATGCAAACCCTGACTGGGTGGGTGGGATCAGTGGGTGAGTGGGATCCATGGGTTCCCGGCGCCGCTGAGCACCCCATTCATGTGGAGGGTGGTGCGTGCTGTTGGTATAGATTCTTGCCTCCTGACTCCCTCTGTCAGGGTTGAGCGCAGGGATCTATTTTTTTTTTTGCCCTTCCCAGGTCAAGGTTTAAAAGTGAGGAGTAGATGTGCTGTGGCAGGTTCAAGAAGGCCTCTCCTCGGCCTGCACCCACTCTTTGTTCTCTTTGGACTCTTCAGGCCTGGAGGAACCATGGTGACCTACGGGGGGATGGCCAAGCAGCCCGTCACAGCGCCTGTGGTGAGCTGCGGGGAGGATGCCAGCAGATGGGCCCAGATGCCTCGGCCTGTTCCCTTGGCACCACACTCTGACCATTTTCCTGTCCCTGGGAGAATTCTATACCCTTAACGGGTACCTGGAAGTTTTACCCTTCCGGCCCAGCATGTCCCTCCTGTGTCCGCAGAGCCTGCTCATTTTTAAGGACCTCAAACTTCGGGGCTTTTGGTTGTCGCAATGGAAGAAAGATCACAGTCCAGGTGAGTGGATGATGGCCCTGTTACCAAGGGTCACAGGAGACAGGAGTGCCTAGCATGGCTGCAGAAGGGACCAGCTACACTGAGCCCTACAGAGGTGACTGGGTCCTCAACACTATGGCAGGATAAAGGAAAATCATTCTAGCCACAGCTGCAGCCAGCAATGTTCTTAGACTAAACTGTTAGTGGTAGGGCCACAGTGTAGAATAAGACAGTGCTCTTGTCCCGACAGCGACAGTGGGGAAGACGACCAAGTAAGGAGGGCAGACTGGAGCCAGCACGCCTGTGTTTAAGTCCTGTGTCCACCCTCACGGGATCTAGGTCCTGCCTAGCCCACCTGTGGGACCTGGGGCAAGTTGCTGGATCTCTACCTCGGCTCCAACATCATGATCATTTAAACTCTTGTGAGCCATGTTTGTCAAAGGAGGAAACTAAGGTTCAGAGTGGCTAGGAAGGCGCACCCCTATAATCCAGAGATGCAGAGGCTGAGGCAGGAGAATTACAAGTTCAAAGCCAGGCTTAGCAACTTAGTGAGACTCTGTCTAAAAAAAGAAAAAAAAAAAAAAAGGTTGAGGATGTAGCTCAGTAGGTAGGCACCCCTGGGTTTAATTCCTGGTACAAAAAAAAAAAAAATAGAGTGGCTGAGCTTGCCCAGAGTCACCCCACCTAGAGAGTGGGGCAGCCAGGATGTGAGCAGATAGGCTCTCTGACTCCAGAACCTGAGCCCCGGCATGCTGTTCTTCCTGTCCCAGAGGACCTGCACCCCAGAGTGACCTCAGCTGAGAAGGAAGACTGACATGGAATTATCAAGTGAAGGGAGGGCGCCCTGCTGGGCCGAGGGTGTTCAGGCAGAAACAGCAAAAGCCCATAAAAGAGAGTGTGACTCATGAGGCACCACCGTGGTCCTGAGGGAGTGGAGCTTTCAGTCTGGGCTGGGCTGGGCAGCTGGACAGGCAGGTTCAGACCAATTACAGAAGGCCTTATAAGCCTTTTTAAGGAGTTCAGGCTTTGTCCTGAAGGCAACCGGGGAGTCACTAAGTGTTTTTAAGCAGGACGAAGGATTAGATTCGAAGGTTGAATGAGGCTATGTCTATGAAAAGCACCTCGGCCAAGGCTTACTTGAGCTCTTCTAGCACCATACCGGGTCCTTAGCAGGAGGCAGGTTCAGGGAGGGGAGGGCAGTGGCCTCAGCTCGAGGGGTCCTGAGGGAGTCCTGGACCATAGGGAGAGCAGAGCTCATCTGTTCCACGTGAGCTGGCGTGGCAGGCTCTCCCGCCTCCCTCCTGGGGCCCTCTGCCTTCCCTGCCTCCAAGTAATGGTCCCCACCCTCCTGCCTATCAGTAGGCAGCCCCGTCCCAGCAGCGCTGTGTGGTGTGAGCCATGTTAGCCACCACTCAGAAGGGTCTCTGCCTGCCCAGGAGCTCCTCGGCTCCCACCCCATCGTCCTCTGACCCCATCTTGGCCCTCACTGTCCTGAATCCAGGTGGGACCAGGCTGCTTCCACCACCACCCCATCCTTAGCAAAGGCAGGGCATCCACGGGAAGTCCACCTGCCATCTCACCAAGCCCCAGCTGTTGTCCCCCATCTGACTTCTTCCCACAGACGAGTTCCAGGGGCTGATTCTCACTCTGTGTGACCTCATCCACCGAGGCCAGCTCACAGCCCCTGCATGCTCAGAGGTCCCACTCCAGGACTACCAGCGGGCTTTGGAAGCCTCCATGGAGCCCTTCGTGTCTTCCAAGCAGATTCTCACCATGTGAGCTGCAGCTGGAGGGGCAGTGAGTGGGGGGGAAGTGGACCCACAAAGCTGGCTTCAGGCCCTTCAGTTAGGGCCCAGCCTTCCCCGGACTGCTCTCCACTTGCTGCCTCTTCCCCCAGGAGGATGGGGAGGTCAGCCTTGGGCATCTAATAAAGTCTGAACATCCTTAAAAAAAAAAAAAGGCAAAAAGAATAGAAGTCATCTCTGCAGAGCAGCAACACTGTGCACCTCCACCTGCAGCACGAGGAAGCGCCCTTCCCTGATTCTCCTTCACCTGTCCCTGTGAATCATTTCCTGACCACCTGAAAGCAAAACTTGGGTGAGTGAGTGTAAGAGCCACAGCCAGTAAGCCACAGTGTCTGCCCTTAAGCCTGCACACCCACAGGGGAGAATCTTCCACAAAGAAGGACTGGACTCCCTTCCTGGCCAGTGTGTAGCCCAGCCCAGGGCAGGAGGATCTGTTTCCTGGAAGAGTGAATGCCAAACTAGATCATCCCAGCCCGGAAGAAACTGCAGACATGGGATCTTGGGTGGCTGGACAACCCTTAGGAAGCTTCCACTCTAACCAGGGACGTAGAGTTTATACCAGTGGTTCACAGCCAGAGGCAACTTGACCCCCAAGAGACATTTGGTTATGTCTGGGAACATTTTGGCTGCCATGACTTGGAGAAGAGATTGTCACTGGCCCCTAGTGGGCAGAGGTCATGATACGTTCAACAGTCTACAAGGAGGGCAGGGGTGTAGCTTGCTGGTAGAGCACTGGTATGCTTAAGGCCCTGGGTTCAGTCCTCAGCAACACACACACACACACACACACACACACCTTTACAGTGCACAGAACAGTTCCCACAACAGCCATCCAGCTCAAAACCTGCATGAAACAACCTCACAGTCACCACCACAGTGACTGGTGCTTTAGAGAAGGCACATGTGCAGGACTGTGGACCAGGGCAAGGCTTCTTTGAGGAGACATTGGCAGAGGACCCTGAAACATGGGTAAGGTTCATTCAGGCAAGACAAGTGGGACTTTATGTGATTCTTTGGTGTTGGTTTCATGATCCTCTTGCCCAAAGCAAAGAACAAACTTTGGGATGTCTCCCTTGTCACCTGTCCTTCTGTACCCTTAAACTCAAGAGCCTTATTCAGGGAGCATTTTTTGAGAGGCTTGTGTGTGCCCAAAGAGAGGCGCGCCAGTGAAAGATGTCATGCCAGCCCTCAAGTTGCTTAGCCTAGTGCAAGAGACAGACCATCACATATAAGGTTGAGGTTGTGGGGTGGGACACAGAAGGGGCCCAGCTCTGCTTGACGGTGTCAAGGAAGAATTCCCAGTGGAAATCCTGTGCACAGAAATCTTTTATTTATTCGTTTTTAGTTGTCAATGGGCCTTTATTTAATGTGGTGCGAAGAATCAAACCCAGTGCCTTACACATGCCAGGCAAGCACTCTACCACTGAGCCACAGCACAGAAATCTTTAAGGCCAAATGGGAAAATGTATACCAAGCAAAGCCAGAAACACATATGAGAGTTTGGAGGCCAGAGAGGTCCTGACTTGGGGGTTGCTAACAGTCCAGTGTAGCTCTGCCTAAGGAGGAGGGGAATGAGAAAGGGGGTGGGAAAGGTGGGTGGGGTCAGATCATAAAGGGTCTTGAAGCCAGAATACCCTGAAGTTCTGAGGGAGCATGGGGAAACCGGCCAATAGGGTTCAGCTGCATGTGAGTGCACACACATCCCCCAGCAGAAACAGGTTCCCCCTGGGAACAGCTCCTATGTCCTCCAGAGAAAAGGACCCAGCTTCAGCTTGAGCCTGGGAATGACCTGCAGGTGCCCCTGGGTATTGCCATGTTGTACACCTGGCTCAGGATCAGCCCCAGCTCCCCATTCCCAGTCGCTAGGTTAGTGGGATGGGATATTCGTACAGAGGGCCAACGTGGGCAAGTGGGGAAGCTTGAAAGTGAGAGGCAGCGGTCCATAGGCTGTGGGAGTGAAAGTTAAGATGAGGTTTTGCAGGGAAACCCACAGAGTTGGGGTGTAGAGAACGCAAGGAGACCGTGGGCATGGTGAGGGAGGCTCTGGGACTACTCCAGGAAAAGGCCAACAGGGAGAAGGGGGTTTGGTAACAGCAGGCTGGGAGATCTGGAGTAACATTTGAAATGAGAACACTGAAGGGAATTATGCGTTGTACTTTTTGGGGTCTGGAGGTGTAACACTCAGGCTGGTCTTCAAAGAATGGTTATAATGAGCTCAAGAAAGGGAAACAAAAATTACTAAGAAAACTGTCAAGCAAAGTTCAGAGGCAGAATATTGATCTCAGGACCTTTTTTCATTTTCCCTATCCATTCCCCTCATTAGAATTAAAACCTAGAGCCTAGGCCTGATGGTGCACACCTGTAATCCCAGCGGCTCTGGGAGGCTGACAGGAGGATTGCAAGTTCAAAGCCAGCCTCAGCAACAGTAAGGCAAAAAGCAACTCAATGAGACCCCGTCTGTAAATAAACTACAAAACAGGGCTGGGGATGTGGCTCAGTGGTCGAGTGCCCCTGAGTTCAATCCCTGGTACCAAAAAAAAAAAGAAAGAAAGAATTAAAACCTAGAACTTTGAGGTGGGCACGTGGTAGGCTGGAGTAAACACTGGTTTCCCTGCTTCCCTTACAGCCAACAAGGTCTGCCCTTGTGAGAGATGTTAGATGCCAATTTCTTAGGAACCTTTTTTAGGATGTAGTTACCAGGTGCATCCTGTACCCTTTTCTTCCCCTTTTACCTTCCTCCCAGCTGGGATACAAACGTGATTCCTGAAGGGTGCACAGCCATCTTTGACCACATTAAGAAAGGGACAGAGAGAAAGTCAAAGGAGTCTGAGGCTTTGACTTCCACAAGTCTCAACTGCCTACCTCAGGACCTGGTTTAAGAGGTTTCACTGTCCCTAATCCTGAATGGTATCATTCAGTGACTTAACTTAAACTAAATCAAGTCAACCAATGTAAAGCTGAAAAAGGGAGTCCTGAAAGATGGTGATTCCCAGCTGGGACTGGAGGTTGCCCTTATTGGCAGTAGCCGACAAAAGACCTCCCAGTGGAGCTGTGCTATAGAGAAATCTCTTTGGTAGCAGGTCCGGGGACAATTTGGAGAGGTAGGCACTACGGAAAATCAGAAGTTCTCAGTCTTTGGAATTTCAGACAAGTAAACCCGCCCCAGCCCTCCACAGCTAAAATTCAAACACCAACTAATGGCTGCCAGCATGAGGCTAGCAGAGGGGAGAAAACAGACAAAATAATGTCAGAAGGGAATCTGACTTAAAATGGATCATCTTTTCTATACTAGTGCGAGACGTCATTTCTAATCTTCAGACAATAATCTGGAAGGGCAAGTGGAAACTGGCTCCAGAGCCGGAAGGCAAACAGGTGCTGACTCCTAAGGCAACGCTCAGGCACACCTGAAGCCCTGGAGCTGCCTGCCTGCCTGCCTCTCCCAGTCCTCCCCAGGGAGCATCCACCCGGCCGCTCCCGCAGCCAGCCCCACAGTGCTGATGCATGTCTTGTCTTGGAGATGAGATAAATAAGCCCACTTTCCTCAGGAGGAGACTGAGGTGCAGAAGAAAGTTTCCTGTGGGAGCCTGTGCTCTAGACATCACTGTTCTTGTGCCTAGAAGCGCTTGGCAATGCCCACAGTGCTCATTGGCAGGCGCCATGCCCAGGGTAGGGCACTGGGCCCAGCCATGACTGTTGGAAATGGTGGGGAAGAAATGCTCAGCCCCGCACTGCATCTGCCCACATGTGCAGGCAGGAAAATTCCTGGGAAGACAGCAGGTCCGGCCTGAAGGTAGATGGCAAGGAGACAACGACATCTTCTGAAAGGGAAGAGAAATCTTTCCATGTGTCCATAACCCTGCATTTAGCTTGCCTAAGGCTCTGGGTTCAATCTTCAGCATCACATTCAAAAGCAGGGATTACTTGTTGAGAGAAGGGGTTTCACTGTGTTATCCAGGCTGGTCTCAACTCCTGGACTGAAGGGATCCTCCTGCCTCAACCGTCCAAAGGCTGGGACTGTAGGCATGTGACACTACACTAAACTATAACTTCCCTGAACATACTACATGAAAGGCACTGTTAAGTATGCTAGGGACACAGAAAGAGACAAAAAACAAACAAACAAACAAAAAAAAACCACGGCCCCTAGTACCAGCAAGCTTACATTCTAGTGACGGAGAAAGACAAAGAACAAGGGAATAAATAAGCTAATTCCAGACTGTAGTACTGTGAAAGAAAACACACAGGGCTATCGTAACTCAGTAGGTATTTGATTTAAAGCAGACAAGAAAATATGAGGCCTGGATAGGGAGCCAGCCATAGTCCAGGCAGAGAGAGTAGCATGCGTAGAAGCCCTGATATGTGTTGAGGCCTGGAGTAGGTTGGGAAGAGAGAATGCTGAGGAGACAGATTTGTGAACATTTAGAAGGAAGAACCCAAGACAGACCAAGTGTGGGGATTGAACTTTAGTTCCTTGCTGGATAGATATGCCACTTCCAGAGTTAGGGAACTCCAGAGAAAGTAGGTTTGGGAGACATGCATTTTCTCTCTGTGGATTCTTTCCCTCCTGTACAACAGATTGATGAGACTATATGACAACCAAGGTTTAGTGCTTATTCTTTAAAACCTTATGATCCTTTTACAAATTTGAGGCCAGCCTGAGCAATTTAGTGAGAACCTGTCTCAAAATAAAAAGGGCTGGGGGTGTAACTCAGAGGTTCAATCCCCAGTACAAAAATAAATAAATAAATAAATCACGATCCTAACATTTTCTAAATTCCAGATGGTTTAAAGATTGCAGTGTGAGGTCAGGCATTACCCTCACATTTTCTAAATTCCAAATGGCTTAAAGATTGCAACATGAGGCTAGGCACAGTGGCACATGCCAGGGCACACCCATGATCCCAGCCTTCAGGAGGCTGAGACAGGAGACCCTCAAATTTGAGGTCTGCCCCAACAACTTAGCAAGACCCTCTCTCAAAATTTTTAAAAATTAAAAGGGCTGAGAGGAGCGTAGCTCAGTGGTACATTGCCCTCAGATTCAATCCCCAGAACTGAGAAAGAAAAAAGATTGCAATATGAAAATAAGCTAAGTAACAGATTAAACTGAGGGTTTTTTGTTGTTGTTGATAATGTTTTTAAACTTCAGAGTGAGGAAGGCCTTTTGAAATACAATACAAAACTAGTACCAAAGAAAAACAAAGGATGGATAAATTTAATCCCCAAAATACCTAATGTTTTTGACTGGCAAAAACAAACAAACCTCTAGGCAAAATCACAAGTCAAACAACAAACTGGGAAAAAATATTTGCAATTCATTTGACAAAGAGCTGATTTTCCTAGTATATAGTGACCTATAAATCAAGAAAAATGAGCAAAAGATATAAACAGACATGCAAAAGGGAAACATAAATCCATCTTAACCATGAAGAGAGACTTGCTCCATTAAAAACAGTTGCCATTTGAACCCCCCAGAGATACCATTAATCAGGACTGACAAAAGGTAAAACATTTGATGACTTGGTATTGGGGAAAATATGGGAATAAGGCATTTAATGGAGTGTTGAACAACATCTACCAAAACTACTTGTGCTCACACTCTTTAACCCAAATATTCCTACTTCCAGGAATAGATCTTACATATATGAATATACAAGGCTCCTCCTGTAGCAATTCTCATGAGGAAAGATGGGAAACCATCTCAATGTCCTTCACTAGAGGATTGGTTAAATTACCATGTACAAAACGTTATAAGCCATAATAATAGTCCCGAGGAAGTTCCTTTTGTACTCTTCTGGAATGATTTTCAAATTAAATTAAGCCAAGAACTGTGTATGTACTACCCAGCTCTGCTTTATGTGGGTAAATTAACCTCTGGAAGGTTATTATTATTATTTTTTTAATTTTTTAGTTTTCGGCAGACACAACATCTTTGTATGTGGTGCTGAGGATTGAACCTGGCCGCACGCATGCCAGGCGAGCATGCTACCACTTGAGCCACAACCCCACCCTTTGGAAGGACATTTTAAGAAATTGCTTTTGAGGAGGGAAATAGCATCTGGGGGACAGAAAAGGGAAAACTTTCTGTTACATAGCATTTGAATTTTGAATTATCTTTCAAAATACAATTTAAAGAAATAAATACAAGCCAGACCTGGAGGCGCGTGCCTGTAATCCCAGTAACTCTGGGAGGCTGAGACAGGATTGCAAATTCAAGATCAACCTCAGCAATGTAATGAGTCCCTGCCTCAAAATTAATAAGGGCTGGGGATGTGGCTCAGTGTCTAAGCACCCCTGGCCTGGGTTCAATTCCCGGTAACAAAAACTAAGTGAGTAAATAAATTAATAATAAAAAGCAGAGAAACAAAACCCTTTCGTGGTTCTAAGAAAATTGAGTTGGTGCGAAGGGAACCAATATTTATTGAGCTCCCCATCTTGTCCACCGACAAGACTTCACAGGTTAGAACACAGGTTCGATTGGCGGGGTGATTTGCTCCGTGTCACGCCTAGTCAAACGCCAACGATGACTCCCACTTCTCACATTGCTTCTATTTAAACAGCTTCCTGTTCTTAAAATATTATAGAAGCTAACATTGTAAATCAAAGGTAGCGCTCTTGACTAGTATGACAGAGGCCCTGGGTTTGACCCCAGCACTGCAGAAATAATAATTTTAAAATAACATTGGTATAGTTTATTGAGCATTTTTGGTGTCTAGTCTCACAAAATTCTCAAGACAACTTTGAAAGGAAGTATTATCCCCCTCTGAGAGACGATAAAAGGATCAGAGACATCGCGCATTAAGAGCACAAGATCACAGACATGCAAGTTTGGAAGCCCGTTTAATTCCGATAAACTGCGCCGATGCCGAAACCACTCCCGGTTCAAAGGACAAAAGCGATTTCGCTCCGCGCGGAGGTGCACACACTTCCGGGGGGCGGCGCGAACCGGAAAGCTGCAGAAAGTGGCGCAGGCGCCACAACAAGCTCGCGAGAGAACGTGCCGGAGCCCGGGCGGCCGGCGCCAGCTGTCGATCATCTCGCTCCGCCCCCCGTCGGCGCGCCCCCGGGGAGGCCACGCCCCCAGCGCTGGCCGGGCGGGAAGCGAACGCGCGCTCCCTCCCGTTACCCTCCGCCTGGGGGGAGGGTGGGGGAAGCGGAGACGCGCGCTCTCGAGCTGCGTGCTCGCGTACGTCGCCGGGGTTCGGCTGCGTCCGTCCCGCCGCCTGCCCGTTGCCGCCGTCGCCGCGCTCTCGCTTCGCCGGCCGCCGCCTAAGGGGGGCCGGGGCCGGGGCCAGCCGCCACCGCCGTTGCCGGGATGCCGCGGGTATACATCGGCCGCCTGAGCTACCAGGCCCGGGAGCGCGATGTGGAGCGCTTCTTTAAGGGCTACGGGAAGATCCTGGAGGTGGATCTGAAGAACGGGTGAGGAGGGCGGAAGAGGGGCTGACTGCGGGGGCCGGGGCCCCGGTGGTGGCGGGGAGGCCGCGGGACCGGAGAGGGGCGCTTGCCTCGCGGGAGCCGCTGCCGGCCTGCTCCGGCTCCGCCATGGTCGCGGCGCCTCGGGGGCGCGGGTAGGCCCGCTCCCACTGCGCCTGCGCGGGCGGGGGTGGTGGAAGGATAATGGGAGCGCTGGCGAGGACCGGAGAGGGACCGGGAGAAGGAAGCCAGGTGGGGCTGGGACTCCGAGCGCCCTGGAGGCCCGGCTTTTCCCTGCCCAGGCCCTGGGACTGGGACCTGGTTCGTCTCCGGGTGGATACCGGCCTTTCCCGCTCTGAGGACTGCTGGAAATAAACAAACAGGATTTCCTGCCCCTTTTTAACCTCTTTCCAGCCGAATGGACCAGGCGGTCACAACGCGTCTTTCCCGAGGACAGGATCTCTGGAGAGAGGCTCTTTTTAGACTTGCCATGTGCCACACTTTTTTTGGGCGGGAGATTGCAGTTTGAGTAGTCTAGTGACAGTTTCCAAAGTATCGTCTTGCCGCGCTGAAAGCCCTGACCGTTCCCTGTATGAGGGCAAATTAAAGCTTTAACTTGAAGACTCGTGCAAAGTTTCCATACTGTAGTTTCCCTTGTCCAACTTGCCAAAAATTTGCCTTGCTGTTGTAGAATTTGTTAAGACTAGTGGCCACCCTGGCTAGTGTATGCGTCTACTAGTTAATACAAGTGGAGACACACATCTGGAAATTGCCAATTTACTACCTCCCAGGATGGTCTGTACTTGTATTATTAACGAGCTTTGGCAAAACAGGGCCAGCAGGAGTACAAGTGTCAGGGGGAAACATGGGTTTGTCAGTCCTGTTCAGAAAGGAAAAACTGGGGACTAGAAAATGGTAGATTTGGAAGGCATGGATGTAAAAATTCATAAAGCACTGGGGGACTGTATTGGACCACTCAACCTTGGCTTTAAAACAAAACTAAAAAGCCACTAGTACTTTGCAACAGGTCTACTATGACTACACTTTACTCCCCGATAATAACTGACACTTGGGAGTTAAGAAAGATAACTTAGTATAAATTGCATGTGGAAGGAAAACTTGGTAGTTAACATAATCTCAAATTGTGCAGCTTTAAAAAACCCCTTCAAAATGATTGCTAGGAAGAATCACCTTGCTGCGGGTTATTGCTTTAACATACAAGGCTTAGAATATTATTCATTTGGTACAATAGAATTTTCAGTTCTGAAGAAATATGCTAAAGTGGGGGGTTTGTTATTGAGATACATATATGTGAAAAAAAACTCCCAGCTAAGTGGACAGAATAACTTTTGTGGGGAAATCATGGTTTTTGAAGCCAGATAGGCCGGAGTCAAATATTGATTCTACCACTTACATATGTATGGGCAAGTTAATGGTTTCACTGAACCTGTTTTCTCATTCATATGGAAAAGGAAGATCAGATATAATAAATGTGAAGCCTTTGACTTATAGTAGTAATTCTTTCTATAATGAAAGAGATTTGTCCATAATTTTTAGGAGACATCATAGCTTGTTAGTGTTTTAATAACAAAGCATATTTGGACTAAGGTGATAGTGAGCTGGAAATGATGTTAATAGGGAAACTGATTCGTCTACCAAGTGTATTGATAACCCACTAAGATACCCAGTACTCTGCTAAATGAACTGAGGACAATCAGGAGAGTTCTGGAGTAAATCAGGTATTGACATGTGCACTTTGAATTAAGGATGCTTGCTCTCCCTTTAAATTAAATTTAAGTAAAACTTGGAATAGTTTGCTTGAAAAGATTTTTTTGAAATGGGCTTTGAAGAATGAATTGACTTAGGGCTTAAAATGAAGAAAAATAAGTATGTATTGTAATTGGCGATAAGGAAGTACTCCAATAAAGAGCAGTTGGTATTAATCTACCTTGAATTGAACCTCGTGAAGGATCTAGAAATTTAACAATAAACAAGAAACAATTATTAAGATTTTTAACACAAAAAGTTCAAAATCATGGGTAGGAATTCAAAGAAGGAGGGATTGCACAACCCAGAAAGCTTCCAGGGCCCTAATTACCTGAGTCTTTTTTTTTTTTTTTGAGGTAACTATTCCTGCTTAAACTTATACTGCTAAACCATGATGAGCATGAAATCCATTATAAGTTAATGTTGAGGACTGGGGTTATGGCTCCATTTGAGGTGCTGGGTTCGATCCTCACCACCACATAATAATAAAACTATTGTGTCCAACTAAAAAAAAAATTGAAAAGAGAATAATAAGAAGTCCCTGTTGAAATAAAGAATGGGAAGCCAGGGATGCTGTTATGGCTCAGATGTAGAGCGCTCGTCTAGCATGCATGAGGCACTTGGTTCGATCTTAGCACCACATAAATATAAAAAATAAAAAGATATTGTGTCCACCCATAACTAAAAAATAAGCATTTAAAAAAAATGGGAAGTCATGTCAAGGATTCAAAAGACAGGTGTGACGATCCCCAAATGGCAACCACTAGCATCATTCAGGAATCATTGCAGAGGAAAATGATTTCTGGGAAGAGAACCAATGATTAAAATGTAGTTGAAGCAAGAATATCCTGAACTTGATGGTAGAAATTCAGGGGAGTCTAAAGAGAAACAGTAGGTACAAAATGAAAAGATGGCACAATTTAACTATATGTTATAAGCTTATAATCCTGAACCTGAGAAGGATCTTGGAATATGTCTGGATTGTTGATTATTAGTAAATAAAATTCAAAACAGAATTTGGATGGATAGGGCTTTGAAGAATTGCAAATGGGTTCAAATTTGTGTTAGCTATGTCAAAAGGGTTAGGCTAAAGGGTTGTACAAAATTTTTAGAATTAAATAAGATGTGAAATACATATATGATAGAAAGTTGACCAAACTAGGAAGCACATGAGCTCCAAAGGAGATTTGGTGCCCAGGAAAGGGTTCTGTATACTTCTGATATGGGGAGAGGGTATGCATGCAGTAGTTGTTGTTTGTCATTATATGGAAACCAGGCAACTCTGGTGCAACTTGCCTCTGTTTTAGAGAACTTCTAGACAGATGGTTCACTTGAGGACTACAAACAGGATCTCCCAGGGTTGCATAGACCATTCCAGATCCCGCTGAGATCTCCTACATTCCTACCTTCTGCATTTATACCAGCAAGAGCCTCTGTCCGGAGGGACAGCCATAGGAAAGGCCCAGGGGAATCCTAGGAGTGGGTCATGGAAGCAATACTGTTAGCACCTGTTGATACCTTTCAGCTTTGTGCTTTTACTGATTTTGATTATGTGTAGATTTGGTGGACTTTCTTTTTTCTTTTTTTTTTAACTTTCTTTTTTATTAATAAATCACTTTCTTGTAAAATGTGGAAGACTTTTTAGTAGTTTCTCTT